ATATCCTCCACATCAATAATTGATGTCAGCAGTTGTTAGGAAAACTGTGGCTTTGAATACAAAAAAGCCTGATGCCATGAACACAGTTTTTGGGGCAATTTGGAGCATTTTTTGGGCAATTTGCCAAGGCACCCTGATTGAAAAAGACTGCGGTAAAGCATACACAAGACTTGAAAGCATTTGTTAAGCTGGCTATACACTGTTCAAATTTTGGCCAGTTCCGGTCGCCCCCTCCCATTTGACCTTTCAACTGAAAGGAGTCTGGAGGAAAATTGTTGGCCACACAGCAGCTTCATCCAATCAGATGCGGCTGCAATTTGGGTATTCTGATTTCTGCCGGCCTCAGTGGGAGGTGTATAGGGTGGATGGAGGAATCTATTAGATTTGTTACATTCAGCCACCAGACTAAATGGAAATAAATCTAAGTTTGGAAGGCCAGCCTTATTACAGTAAAGTCTCTACTACTGAGTTGCTATAGATTCCTTTTTCTCCCTGAATATTGAAGAATCACATTACAGCAGGTTGCAATTATATATAATTAATATATAAGATATAAGCAGATCTGTAGCTGTAATTCTTGAGGAGAGATCTGCTACAAATGGTAATTACATGTATGGCATGATCTTACTATAAACAGACATGAACAGATTACCCTTGCATGCACATTTAGAGGAGCACTGCTATAGAAAGTAAAAGCAATTGACTAAAAAAAATCCAAATTGGTACACCTCTTTACTTTCATAATGTAACCCACTGACACATGAAAGGCAAACTGATAAATTTCACTTTTAGAGAGAATCATTTTGATTTTTGCAATTTTTCAGGCTCCACCCACAAAGATGTACTGAGAGGATGCTGTAAGTCCAAATAAACATAACAAAGAATGAAAATTAGAGACCCAGGCCCTGTTCAGCACTAAAAACATACAACATATTCCTCCAAGAACCACTAGTTATGTTGTATGGATTCAGGGGCAGACTGACCATTTGGAAACTCGGGCACTGCCTGAGGGCCCGGGGTCAGTAGGGGGCTCCATGAGATGCCCCTGGTACCTTTTTCATAGGCTTTTTTGAGTTTGGGCAAGGACACAGGGGCCCCATGATCCCCTATTGCCCGGGGCCCCATGAGTTGTCAGTCCGCCCCTGTATGGATTAAACATAGGGGTTGATTTACTAAAGGCAAACTGTTCACTTCGTACATGTAGTTGCACACCACAAGGAAATTAGTTACAGAGATTACTAAATGAGGTAAAGATTCACTTTGCAAAGTAAACGCAATCACACTTTTGCTAGCGCATGATTGAATGATGGAAGTCAGTAGAGCTTCCCCTCATTTACCAAACTCTGGAGCAAATTCCCTTGCAGAGTGCAACTGTCTATTTGTCTTTAGTAAATCAACCCTGTAGTATATTATCCATAAACAGAAACACAGGGGGAGATTTACTAAAACTGGTGCACACAGAATCTGGGGTAGCTGTGCATAGTAACTGAAAGCATCTTTAGACAGTTGGGAGCCAAAGAGGGGATCCACCTTACTCCAATACGTAGACGACAAAATGGTATACCTGAATCAATAACCCTAGCTCATATTTCCCCACAGTAACCAATCAGCTTCTAACTTCAGCTTCTGAAATTCAGCTTTGACAATGAAACCTGGAAGCTGATTGGTTACCATGCACAGCTGCACTAGTTTTAGAAAATATTCCCCACGGTGGCATTCCAAGCTGGGTTTATTCTTGTGGACATATAGCATCACCTTCCTGCAGCAATATTCTGACTAGCGATGGCTTTAGCTCTCACATCACACATACTTTGGCCAACAATAGCACTAGATACAAAAATACTTGAGCAATGTCACCTGGAGAGCTGGTGTTCTTAACTACATAGGTTTTATTTCTCTGTGGCTGTTCCTGCAAGAGACAAACATTGACGGTGTTTAAAAGCTCAAATAGATTCAAACGTTGCATTTCAAAACATATTTCCATTCCAGCACAATAATAGGAGCATGAGATGGTGTGTGCTTCACCAGTCTTAAAAATATAAAGACAGGACTGCAGCAACATTACACTTGTCAGCTGTCTCTGGCCTTTGAAACTCTCAAAGAAGAATTTCAGAGACTGAGATTTCACAGGTACAATCAGTTTCCTCTTCACTTCTTACCGTGCTTGGATATGGAAAATCAAACTTCACAAACGCATGCAGGTCGTTGGGTGCCATTCCTGTGAAACAGATTAATAGAAGTGAGCAATTTTCATCAGATACCAAGTGACACTACAACTAAAAAATAACCGAGAAAAGAAACTACATATAAAACATGAAGTTGTATGGTGACACATGGGGCAACACAGCCATGGATAGAGTCCACACTCTAGTATATTCAGCAGCTCCTGAAGGGCCATTTGAGCGTTTGTGCCATTAAAGCAAATCTTGCTTTGTCCATCCAGGGCAAAACAACAAGGTGCCTTGAATGCCCCCCTCTCCTGCATAACATGCTTCTTTCATCATTTCCCCCAGTGCTACATTCAGTCACTTGCAGCTAAAAAATTCTCTTTGATGACTGGTTAGTGAACCAATATACTAATGTTATTATCAGAAACCAGAAAAACTGAGAGTTTCATACTATAAAAGAGTTGAGAAGTGGGAGCAGGACACAGATGAAGAGGTGCTTAAAAAGCACCCACTGAATATAAATGAGCATACAAAGTAGGAATATTCAATATTTAATATTTGCCAGACAAAAAAGAAAATCTATTTTTGTTATTTTTTTTTTTTTTTAACTCTAACCATAATATTCAAAATATATAAAAAAAAACTACACATTACCTTAAAACCCAAGTTCAGGTTGGAAGAAAAAAAAAACTTCTTGCAGCGGGGGTCCCTATTCTCCCTAGCAGTGCAAGGGTATGTTTAATTTTGTCTAGAGGCAGATAAGAAGGCTGCATTACTTGCCTTACCCCCACTCTGGCCAGCTCCGGCGCTCCAGTCTGTAGGTGGTCCCTTGGCATCCATAATGTGCCATGCAGGGCATTTGCAGGTAGAGATGGCAAGAGTGAGACTGTAGCCAGGAGGGCCTTGGAGAAGAGGTTGGGGGGGGGACCAGTGACAACACTGGAGGGACCCTGCAGGAGTGAAGAATAAGGTAAGTATTCACATCTTATTCCTCATCCCCTAGACAAAAATAAGCAAACCCTTGCAGTGCTGGCACTGAAACAGTCATTTTTTCCTGCCCTTGGAGTGGGGCTTTAAAAATAAATACAATAAAAAAAATACACTGATAAAAACAACCTGCAATATGCAGACACCTCTCCTCTCAAAAGAGCAGGTAAGAATATGGCTGAGAAATATCTGCAGTTTGCTAGACAAACATGTTTTCCTCCAGAATTCATTACAAAACAACTAAAGAGGAAGAGAGCACTCTTTGGAAGGTGTTGAAAGGACAGAGAGACAAGGAGAATGTCACCTGCAGGGGCTGGAAGATTAATGCCTCGTACTATAATCAGCAGCATCTCTGTACTACTTAGCTCCGAGAATACTCTGTTGGGAAAGAAGGATCATGATCAGTTATATACAGACCAACAATTAGTCCAAACAACTCACATAAATCCCCCTTTTCATTTCAATATTCTACCATTTCCAAAAAGAAAAAACATATACAGACACTGTATCTGAACAGTTACTGGTGTTGGAGTCTGACCTATGCCTGACTGGAACACCTAAGGGTTGTAGATTTGACATATTACTGGTGTTGGATCGGTTCTATGATCTGCTCTGTGACTGACCCAAACAGTTACTGGTGTTAGATCTGACATATGCCTGAGCTAAATAGCTGCTGGAGTTTGGGTCTAATTTATGGCTGACCTGAATAGTTTACTTCTGACCTGTGCCTGGCCTGAACATTTAGTGGTCTTAGGTTTGATCTATGCCTGATCAACAGTTACTGGTGCTTGATCTGACCTATGCCTGCCCTGAACTGCTTCTCAACATTCCTCACAGTCAGTATTGATCAAAATGGTTACCGGACTATTCTCAATGTCTTGTCTTCAAAATGATAGGGAGGTGGATCACGGCCCTGAGCTTGAGATAGGTGAAGGATATCACAATTCTTCTTGCATTCATCTGCCATTTTTTCGAACCTGCCACAAGAACACAAACAACATCAGACATTGCTGAAGATTTAGCCCAAGGAGCTCTGTCAAGACTTCTACATATTCTCAGTTTATCAAAGAGGGGAATAACAATATAATACAACAAAAATTTGTGTATTTGTGTACTTACCATTAACTTTTTTTCTTGGAGCCCAATGAGGGATACAGAATTTTATAATCCTGTAGGTTATACTGCTGCCTGTAGGGAGGACTGGATACTGGCAAACAAAAAAAACTGTAGAACAGCCCAAGGTATAACCCTCCTACTATCAGCATGCCTCATAAAAGAATTTTAAATGGTTTAAAAATAGAAAAATAAAATTTACATATAATATATATATATACACACACACACACACACACATACATACATACATACACACACACACATACATACATACACATACACATACATACATAAATGTCACAAAGGCTTGATGCCGTATAGCTGAAGAGGTGCTTAGTGAAGAAAGCCAGCCCAATCTTGAAGACCAAAGCCTGAACCTTGGTTTGTCCAAGCCACCTAGAGATGGTGAAACTGGAAACCTGGGAGCCCATGCTGTGCCCCCGTCTGAGATGTCAACAAGGGAATCCATCTTCATGAAAGAAGCAGCAGCTGAAACATTCACACAGCCTGAACCACATCCAACCAATAGAGAAAATTTCAATTTTGTGAACTGCAGCTGGACAAAAGGGATGGAATTACAATGATCTGGTTAGGTTGCAAAACAGAGACTACTTTGGGAAGAAAGGAAGCCCAGGACCTCAATACAACATTGTCCTTGTGCAAGAACATAAAGGGTTTCTTGCAGGATATAGCTGTCAGCTCAGACACTTGCCTAGCCGAGGTGATTGCCACAAAAAATGCAACCTTGTGAGTCTGACCGGAGAGTGGAAGGTTCAAAGGGGAATGGACTGGGAGCCCCATGCAAAACCCTTACACAAAGGGTTTAATTAGAAAATGGAAAGCCAACAGTCTCTGAAACTAAATGGAAAGGGGAGAAATCCAACCCATGGTACTACCAGCCAGGTGTTGGTTCAGATCAACTGCAAAAAAGAACAGATCTGTCATATGGAGAAACTCCAGGGGTGGAAGCCCTTAGACCCACAGCAAGCAAAGTACACCTTCCATGTCTGGTGATAAAACCTCGTGGGAAGTGTATTTCCTAGCCTTCAGTAACATAGGAATCAAACTTAAGAGATGCCCTGTATGTTAAAACCTGGGTTTTAACAGTCATGCTGTTAAAGCAAGGGACCAGCAGTCAACAGATCCACAGTAGGAATGAACAGCTTTGAGAAAAATCAAAACAGAAAGGCAAGTGCTTAGAATTAGCAAACAGCCTATCAGGGCATTTTCAATCTCTGTACAGGAATAAGGGGCCTTGATTGCACGGGTGGCAACAGGATGGTAAAAGCCATGATTTTACCATCCCTGACTGAGAGAGATGCCCACCCAAAAAACTTACCATGGCAACTGAAGGGGAACTCGCAGGCTACGATGCTTTGCTTAATGAGATTTTGAGTCAAAACTCCCCCATAAAGCTGTGATGAATGGCTGACCAGTCCAACTGCAATGACCAAAGTACACGATGAGAGCTAAACCTTAATTAATGATTGGTAGCAAGGTATTTAAGGTATGGCCCAAGTCTCCGTTACCCTAGAATAATGTGGAGACAATAATTGAGGCCTTGTTGCAAGTAGCCCCAGAATTAACCCTGGGCCGGGCTACATTTTTTCAGCCTACCAATGCTAGTGTAACCTTGTGATTAAAAAAGGTTTAACTCTCTGTACATTTCTCAAAGGACAATAAAAAAAATTGTCTGTGTACCATGAACTCTTTGAATACAATGGGGATTGCCTATACACGTGTGCCTTCATTCCAATTGTCTATGCCATCTTTGCTATTCTCTATCACTGGTTTCCCCCATGAACCTTCTGAGGTCAGCAGACTTGATGTTCCTATGATCCCCCCCATGAGCCATCTGAGTAAATTTGCTTGGTGACTGCTTACTATTGATGCCCCAAAATTCTGCTGCACAAGCAACCTCCCTAAAAGGTGTTTCAGTCTGTAAAATGCAACTGGATGGGCCCGATACGATCTGAGTCTGACCGTAGAGTATTAAAACACATCCATGCCAGATACAAGTCAGATTAGTAATGGAAAGCCAAAACAGTTGTGAAACTAAAAGCCTAGGGCAGTTGGAATCACCCATGCGTATTGCGTTGGTTCAGAAGCCCAAACAGAACCATGCTGCTGATATGTGGATACAGGCTTCCACGGTTTATTTTTACCCACAGCAAGCATTCGCATGGAATGTGGAAGTGTATTTCCTGGTGGTAGGAACAAACTTAAGAGATGCCCTGTATGTTAAAACCAGATCTGCAGTCATCTGTTAAAGCATTACCAAGCTGAGTCACTGTAAGTACATACATTGTACATGGCAGTGGCCCAATTGCTTAGCCTTAGCAGAGCTTTAATTCTGTACAGCCACACGGAGACATATGATTGTACACGTGGCAATATATGACACATTTAAAGTTCGAAACATTTTACCATTTCCATGACTGCCCACCTAAAAAAACTTACCATGGCAACTGAAGGGGAACTTCGTGGCTACGATGCTTTGCTTAACGATCACCTTAACTTGGCATGTGTCCCACTGAAGTCACTGTGACCGTGCAGTAACTGAGAGCTAAACCTTAATTAATGATTGTAGCAAGGTATTTATATATAAAATCTACCTTTATAATAATAAAGCAATAATTGAGGCTTGCTGGTAAGTAGGAGAATTATACCCTGGGCCGGGCTACATTTTTTTCTTTGCCAAAGCTAGTGTAGGCGGTAGCATAAATAAAAGGTTTAAGACTCTCTACATTTCTCAAAGGACAAGAAAGAAAATGTGTCTGTGTACCATTCTCTTTGAATAACGTGACTTGAGGACAGGTGTGCCTTCATTCCCTAATGTCTATGGCCATCTTTACATTCTATCTGGTTACTGATGTAGAGACTCTTTACTCACCTTGTGGTTTCTGCAACATTTCCCATCTGAGTAAATTGCTTGGAGTACCGCAAACATTTCTAGGAGGAAACAAAAGACTGGATGATGCCAGTCCATAAAGCCTCAGATGTATGTTTGGACACCCTTCCTGGTGAGGGGTACTGTTAAAGCTACAAACACAGACATTTTAGACAATTGTAGACTTCTAGCTTTGGTGGTTTCAACTTGGAGAAGACCCTCTTTTGTTCCGGCATATATTTGTGCTCCTGTGCACAACGCCAGATCAATAAAACATGCATTGGCAAGTTTGGTGTGTCAGAACCAGCATTGCCTGCACAGAGCTAACTTGAATGCTGACTGAGCCAGGCCGCTTTCTCCAACATCGATATTCAACCTTGAAAATGCTATTGTGGCTTAATGGGCTCGAAAATTCTGCAGACACACTCCAGAGCTTTTTCAGAACAGTGGTGGCTGCTTAAAGCAACCAAGAAGGGGGTGGAGGGGGGGCATCTCAATTTGAATGCCCATGGTTTTGGAATGGGTTTTCAAGCAAGCTAATGTAGGTGTGATGGTCAGGTGTCCACAAACATTTGACCATACATCAATGCATTTAGAAACAAAAAGACACTATACAGTATATGCCGAAAAAACCTTTGGCAGGCCTTGAAGACAGATGAAATCCAATAAGGTTCAATTCATAAAGATTTATGCAAGGATAAGGATTTTTATTTTATCCATGTGACATTAAATTTTGAATCTCACTGGACTCAGCCTAAAAACAGCTTTCCTTTAAAAATAAAGATCTTTATCCTGGTGTTTTAGTTTTGTTAATTTGGCTTCTAGTGATAATAAAATCATATATTGTAGTATAGATCATTAGACACTACCCAAGATGTTTCAGTTTTGGTCTTGCTCATTTGAGAGATTCATATACACAAATAATTTAATATGTATCCATAAATAACATTTAATATAAAGCCTACAACATCCTTATTCAAAAGGTTCACAGTTCATATGTCATACATTATCACCACTCAATCAAAGTAGTTTCATCACAAAACCTTAAGAAGTATGATGCTTCAATGTAAATAATATCACGATCCCACTATTTCCAGTAACCAATCACAGTTCAACTTTAAAGGAAAAGGAAAGTAATTTTTTTTCATGAGTACATAATGTGAGATAATAGCAGGATATACTCTGAAGTAATTCCTTAGAGTCTTTCACATTTTTACTAACTTGCTGCCCAATGTTTCTTTTGTATTGTCATAAACACAGCAATATTTGTAGATTCGCTCATAGATGAAGCTCTAGGGATAAGCTATATCACTGGGGAGTAGATTATTTTTAATGGCTTCGCTGATTCATAGATTTGCACTGTGAGACGGTGCACTAGGGCATAACCATGTGACCAGGACAGAAAGTGAGAAGAATCTCTGGAGCGGGGACACACAAATTCCATTCTATCAATTTGAAAAAAAAAAAAAAAAAAAAAAAAAAAAAAAAAAAAAAAGTAGGCTGGAGTTGATTTTTAGATATAAAATTAGAGAATATGATGGAATATTTGGAGAATCAGTGCAAGATACCTCATGCTGTTCATGAAGAAGCTTCAACAACTGAGAGTAAACTTCATCTGAGTTCTGTGGTGACTTGGTATCTTCATGTTCTACTACAACAAAGTCACTGTCCTCATCTGGAGGTGGTGGGATCTGGGGAATAAAAGCAAAGACTGCTTAATGATTTGAGGATATGTCAATCTGTTGCAATACGCCTACAATGAAAGATGGCTCATTAATTGCAATAAAGGATATGCAGTGGATGTGGGAATGTCTTAGATTTTTCTCATTCAGCCTATAGGTCAAACAAAAAATGATTAACCACTTGAAGACACTTTTCAGACATTTTTTGTTTACAAGTAAAAATCTGTATTTTCGGTCTCTGGTCAGCCGGTGGAACTGTGGACTTCAGTGCCGGGCTTCCCGATCACACACGGGAGAGACCGGAGAGGCACTGGAGGGCAAGCCTCCTGCTACCTTTAAAAGCTGCTCAGAAACACTTTTAAAAGGGTAGGCAATCCCTGGCTGAAAATGTTAATACTGGGGTTATTGCTAGCAGATGCAGCCATGGTCCCGGTATAACCACGTGAACACAATCACATATATTTACGTGATTGTGCTGCAAGTGGTTAAGCAATTGCTAGCTTAAGACCACTATATTTTTCCCATTTCAAACAGTGGGATAAACAATCAAGACCCATAGAGCCAGCCTGCTCTGAGTGGATATAAATGTGTGCACACCTTTAACCACTTGCCTACAGGGCACGTATATTGTCCAGGCCAATTTTCAGCTTTCAGTGCTGTCACACTTTGAATGGCAATTTGCGCGGTCATGCAATACTATACGCAATTATGACATTTTTATAATTTTTTTGAGACAGATAGAGCTTTCTTTTGGTGGTATTTAATCACCTCTGGGTTTTTTATTGTTTGCTAAACAAACCAAAAATAACTGAAAATTTAGAAAAAAAAAAAAGTTTTTCCTTAGTTTTGTTATAAAAATTTTGTAAATAAGTGATTTTTATCCTTCACTGATGTGCGCTAATGAGGCTGCGGTCATGGGCACTGATAGGCTGCACTGATGGCCACTGATGAGGAGGCACTGGTAGGTGGCACTGATGGGCATTGACAGGCATCACTGATGGGCACTGAAAGGCAGCACTCACATGGCAGTGATAGGCAGCACTGATAGGCGGCACTGACTGGCAGTGATAGGCGGCACTGACTGGCACTGACTGGCACTGTTAGGCGGCACTGATGCGCACTGATAGGTGGCACTGACAGGCAGCTCAGATGGGCACTGATATGTGGCATTGATGTGCACTGGTGGGCACTGATATGTGGCATTGATGGACACCGACAGGTGGCACTGCTGGGGCTACACTGATCATGAGCGCACACTGATCATCAGTGCCCTGATGATCTCTTAAGAGTTCATTCACAGTTGCCAAAATGGTAACTATGTGCAGAGTGATGTGCAAAAGCCACCCTAAAACACTGTACAATAGCAGCCAACAAACAATGTACTGGATGCAATAAAAGGGTAATGTGAATTTATTTTTTTGTCTGTCACAGTTCAGGAGCAGCCAATATATAATGAATGGGTTGCTTTACTGGAAAACAAGAAAAAACTCTGCAAGGGAATGCTGAAGTGGAAATTTGCCCTTAGGGCCCATTCACAGGACTGTGACTTGGTAAGACATGTGCATTTAATGTGCAGTATTCATGTGTTGATGTGCGCTGCAGTGAAGTGGCTACCAAACCCCCAGAATGCATAAAACATCATGTTTTTTTTCCAACATGCATCTTTAACATGCAGCATTTATGAGTTGAAAAGCGTTGGGTTAGGAAGCCCTCTCATTTTGGTGCTGCCAAACCACCACAACACACGAAACCTGGACAAGCACTATTTTTTTCCCAACACAGCATACTACAACGCACTAATAGTTAACATACAGGCAATACAGCGCACTGCCTAGGTGAGTTGGAGTGCCACTAAAATTTTAAGAAATGCCAACGTACTTTTTCATGTACTACCATATGCTACATTATTATTATTATTATTACTACGAGTTTATATAGCGCCAAAGGGTTTGCTCAGCGCTGTACAATAGGGGGGGACAATACATGGCACAGTACAACAAAGACAGACAGCGTACGAGGGGTAAGAGGGCCCTACTCTTACGAGCTTACAATCTGGGATAATGTACAGAAACCACACAATTATTTTAGGTGGAGCCCAGGACGCCATTGACACTACGCCGCCGGTGCCACGTGGAGGCCCGGCGGCCATCTTTAATCTTAAAGGGTCAGTCATTTGATTAAACCTGGCACCATTGTGAGTTTTTTCTGAACACTCCTGTTTTTCTTGAATAAAATCATTTTCTTTTACAAAGAATTTTATTGTAGATTGAGCAATGATAAACAAACAT